GGTTCAGTTAAGATTAAGCTGTAATATTAATTATACCTTAACATTACTGATCGGAAGCGGCCTCCACCTAGGCATTCCGATCACTTGACCTTACTGAAGAATTAGCTCTATAATAATTCTGAACCCTCTATCAGAATAATACACTTGTTAGAAGTACACCATTCCTATCATGCTATACATACGTCTGTCAAACATGGTGCTTAAACCGCAGGCGGACAAGAACCCCTAGTCTCTCAAAAACTCGTGTTTGGGTACCTAGTTTTTAGGTACTCATATTAATTCCCCGGTTGAGAGAGTGGTGGTTGTGAGTTCAAAAAACCCCGCCTCTATTATTTTTTCATAGTCCTCATCCAGGACTTGTGGAAGTTTACACTTCTGCCCCAGCAGATCCGACTTTTTATTATAACAGCGGTATTCAAAGTTCTCTTGCCGTTTGAGGGCAAAAACTAGATAGAACCGGTTCTTCCAATTAGACCACTTAGACGGTTTGTTAAGGGTCATTAAATAGTTGGGGTAGGTGGTTAATGTGTACCACGCTCTTCAGCCGCCTAGACTATGGCTTAGATAATGCATATGGGTAAAGGCCTCCTAGCCGGGATGGAGTCCCTGCATCTCATAGGCGGCGATGTAGCCCATAATGTTAACCCAAGAATTTAGGGTTAACTGCCACACGCCTAGGCCGTATCCTCGCAAGATAGCCTTGATTGCATCGTGGAGGGGGAAGCAGAGACCGGCGAGGAAAGCCGCCTCATAGCAGCCAAAATAAAGGTTGCCATTTGGCTGGTCATCTTTCAAGGCAATGGTTCCCAATTCAGGCGGCACCCGGATGACATATCCTTCACCAAGAGGACGTTTGGATTTGAAGGCCTCCAGATGCTTCTCCATGTTTGCCCTGTCTCTGGCAGAGATATGGATCCGAAAGGGATCCCCCTCATTATTCCATTTTAATCTTTCCTCCTCCTCACTATCCTCAATCGGTGATAGTGATTTGCTGCTCTCTTTAGACCTAAACCTAGAGGCGGTCTCACCTCCATCTCTTTCAGGAACAGCTTCATCCGCCTCCTCAAAGAAAGACATAGAGGCGGCTTCTTCACCGTCTCCACCCTCTAATCCAAGGATCCCATCACTGGGAGTGCTCGGTGGACCTAAAGGGGATCCTCTTGCCTCCTCAGCCTGTTCAATCTCAAGCGGCGCACTGTCTGCGCTCTCTTCCCATAATCCGGATCTACAGCCGTCCATCTAGTCTGAGCCATAGTGTCCTGCACAGACACGGAGATGGTCGGATTTGGAGATGATCAAGAGTGATCCAAGCATCCAGAGGCAGCACCCCCATTCCTAGACTCAATCGTACTGGGGACCGGCTGCCTACTGAACTAGGTTGTGTCATGTGTGCTGTTGGTGAATCCATTTATGGAGCAAAATGTACGCAAACGGAAAAATATGAAAGAGCTGAGAAGGGGAGAGACGGTACCTCTAAGATGAGCTGAAATACAGTCAAGCGTTGACCCACTGTAGCTAGCAGGCAGAAACCAAGAAATTACTTGCAAGACGTACCGGCGGTTAACCAGATGTACCCCCATGAAAAAAAAGAGTTGCTTGGAGAGTACCCAGGCGGTCCTCAGAAGTTCTCCTACCTGTTAAAGGCACAGACGTTATACCTGCTGTAACCCCTTAGAAAGCAAGAGAATTCTGAAAGATATTCAGGTAGTTCAGATGATCCCCTATTTGTCAAATGTGCAGACGGTAGACCGGCTGTGTCTAACAAAATGGAGGCAATTTCTTCGAGGATACACAGGCGGTTGTTAGACGTTTTCTCTCTAAAAACGATAGACTCCTTCTAAATTTTGGAAATGACCAAAAATGGGAAGGGTAAAAACTTATTTATAGGAGGGTAATTTCAGGGGTGTTCCTGTAATTCTCCCAGATAACTGTTCACCAGTATCCTAGTGACAATTGTCACAGGTGCCACGTGGCACACCACGTCACACCTGTGAGGGGCAAATGTTTTGGGTAAAAATACCCCAAGGCCACGTGGCCCAATAAAATGGTGACACGTGTCACCTTAAGAGAGGTTCAAAATGAACCAATCCTCTGCTGACACGTGGCATCCCCAATCATTGGGAAAAAGGCGACTTTCAAGGCCCAATTCCCGGGATAGCCCACCACTCCTAGGTTTTCATAACCTAGGATGGAAGCACGCATCCCAAGACCCTATAAATAGGGAGATATTCCCACATGGGAAAAGGATTCACAAACATTCACTGAAAACAGAGCAATAGTTAATTGCAGATATTTACCTCTCACCTCAGAGAACACTCTTGATCTCGGAATCCGAGAAGATAATTTACTTTCCGCACTTTTTACAACACCCGAACACATTATAACTTGATCATTAGAGGCGGAATTACACCCAATCGGAGTCTCCGTTGTTTTGCAGGTACAGGCGCCCAAAATCCAGTCTTGAAATTATAACACTCCCGCGGGACACAGAAAACCCCGAAACAATAATAATTTAAATTTTGCGTTATCAGATGTGCTGAATGATGCATATGACTAATTAAACAAAAGAAAATATTAGTTACAATCCATCATAAAAATTTGATACAATAGTATTTTCCAATCCAAAATACACTTTTTTTTTTTTTTTTTAAACAATCCAAAATACACTTTAAAACAAAAGAAGAGCACATTAATTTTAATTTTTTTTTTAATTTTTATATTTTTTAAATATCCCATTATTATATTAGGAATTTTATATAAATTACGATATCCAATATAAGACATGTATCATTTGTTTGTATGTTGATAATTCTAGTGGTAAGTTTGAAATATCTTAGTTATCCCGATTTTGTAATAAAATTCTATTTATTTGGTAAACTTGATTATTAGAAAAAATTTAATCTAAAAGTTTATTACTTTAATTAGATTGAACTTATTTAAATTGTAAAGTATTGGGTGAGTTAGTTTCACCATAAGTTCACCCACCCAATGCTAAAAGTTTAATAACAGAGATTTCCAATAATTTATATGAAAATTTCAAAAACTAATAATATTTCCAATAATTTTTTATGATAATTTATAAGGCAACAACTAACAAACGCCTTGGGGTTGTTGGATAAGATAATTAAAAGTAAAAATATTAACTTGAAATAAACATTAATTATACCGATCGACGCGTGATTTAAGCATACATTCCCATGTTAATACCATTTAAGATTATATTTTAAAGGGTTATCCAATCCCTCAGGGACGTTCATCAGCAAGATCCAATTTAAAAATTGATATAAATGTCGAAAAACTTATACCTAAATTTTAGAAGATAATATTTTAAAAAAGTTAAATAAAATATCCAATAATTTACATTCTAACCATATGTCCAAATAACCTACAAAACACTTTTCCAAATTTAATTGTCCACAATTATTTTATTTGAAATTGTAAGAATTCATTATATACGATACGGAGTATAAGTCAAAATAAGTTGAACAAATAAAATCTTATATGAATTAACTCTAGTTTATAATGGTTTTGAAATTTTAATTATTTGACCATAAAGCCACTTAGTTGGTTTTTCACAAATCCTTATATATGGTTGGCCACATGATGTGACCAGCTATTATGAAGATTAATTCGTTAGTGTTATGGGGATTAATCGGTGATGGTTACCCACTTAATGTTACAGGGGTTATTCGGTCAGCGTTATAAGGATTACTCTGTTCTTTTACAAATGGTCATATAATGTGATCAACAACACGCAAGATGTCTTGCTGTTTAACTATTTTTGAATGAGATTTTTTGTTTTTTCTTTCTTAATCTCGTGTGTGTGTTGGACACCTTCCCTCTTAAATTTTAATATTAATATCTTATGACTCTTGATTGTTCAATCTACGAAGTATATACCCAAAAATAGATCTAGATGCCAAAAATCTTTGGCCAATTTGTTTTTATGGGGAAAGCCAACCTGAAGGTGTACAACAGTACAAAGGCTATCACGACCGCAAGATAGGGAAATTTTCATAATGACATCTACTTCCTCCATTTTTATTTACTTGCAACAGCCTTATGGTTAAGGTCGAGATTATATATTGTAAACGGGCAAATTATTCAAAATAATTTCTACACATGATACATTATCCTACTCTAATCCCCATATTAAAATATATTTTTTTTGATAAAATTACTCATTTACCTTCACTAATCATCTCCTAAAACTGTGTGCCTAAAAGATATGTTATATTTAAAAAAAAAAAAAAAAAAAAACAGAGGAAATAATAGTAATACGAAAAATCTTCTTAGTTGACTAAAGATTTTGGGTAAATGGCATTGTACCTCATATGATTAAAACTCTTGCTCAATTAATTAGCCTATATCAAATAAATTTTAAAACTTTTATTTTGGGAAAGTTTACAAATTTCAAAGCTTGATATATTTTATTGTAATGATATATGTAGCCCTAAGGGCTACTAAATAAGCATTAATTATTTTTCTTTATATGGTATATATTGATATTAGTTTATGAATACATAATAATATTATGTGCAGATCAGTGTAATTAATGTATATATATTTCATTAATACTTTCCTCGTTTAGGTTCTTAAACATAACCCTAATAGCATTTTCCTATATTCTAAAACTTTTTTTGCTTTTTTTGGAAATTAGGTTAGAACCCGTGCGATGCATGATTTATATTAAATCTATTTTTATAATTTGTACATTTAACAATTATGCACCTTGTATAAAAATATTTGTAATTTTAAAATTGATTTTCATCAAAATTATGATATTATACTTGTTCAATGTCAACTAATACATATTTCAATATAGGAGTCCATTTATTAGTGTGCTATTTACAATTGTTTTATTTTTTTAAGGATAAATTGATAAGTTGTAGTTGTAATGTAGAAGCTTCTAATATTCAAATTTCAAAATTGTTAAATATGATACCTCCACACACACATACACACAAAAAGACATAATTCTTGCATTTAGGCGGGAAAAAAATTATTGTGAGAGTGATATGTGGACAGTGATGACGTCAGCAACGTTTTGTTTTAGTAATAGTTAATAGATTTAATAATTTTTATTTTTTTGGGATAGTTAATAAATATGAACTTGATTAATTAAAATTCTTTTTTGGAAAGTTAATAAATCTTAAAGAATGATACATTTACAGGTTTGAACGCGTAGGGCCGTAGGCTATCAATTCATTGACGCACATTCTCTTACCAAATTCGGCCTTTATCTATTTTTGATAAAATATTTTTGATAATGAATTGCAAGTATCGAGTAATCTCTCACTAAATTTCATATTAAGTGTTTTCACAACTAATTTTAGTTGAAGAGTCAAATTTGGATTTAAAAGACGTTGGAAATGCTATCTAGTTCACAGAATTTGACTTAAATTTCCAAGCATGATTTTCAGCCAAAATCTAGGCTTAACCATAATCAAACTAAAATCAACTGTCAATTAAATCAGAATGATGTTTCAAAAAAAAAAAAAAAACAAATTAAATCAGAATGAAGTAAGATACAAGAAATCAAGTCATATTCATGTATGAATGAATAAATCAGACTCTGTTATAAATCAAAATCCTCCCCGTATGATGAAAAAACACAGGGAATGTGGATTCTATCATCACAACAACCAACCAAATGTAACAAAAAAAAACATTCTTCCTCAACATTATGTTTTGTCGTCAAATACACGAGCATCAATATAGAATGAGACCCTAAGAAATACAAGTATTAAAGCTAAAAATTTACAAGATTTGAGGGGGTCATGGCCGTCATGCCATTCTAATTCACATAAAGCTAGCGAATTAACCAGATTTCCGATGTTCAGGAGGCCAGATACTATTCTGCGATGAGTTACAGCATTCGCAACATGTCAGCAACAACAGCATGAAACACATAAACTGCATAGTTTCTCTGTACACAAAAATTTCTTAGTTTTCCCATGAAAACTCAGCCACTTCCTCTAATGCAATTTCCCGGTAAAAGATATTTAAACTTTTCTGCATTCTGTAGTAAGTAAGAAGGAAGATGAACAGCAGAATAAGAGCGAGGAATTGCCCCCAATTTCCCAATCATGTCACGAAATGTGTATTCTTCAGGAAGCATGTCAAACAGGTTTGTCCCTTTACAGATTATATCCTGAATCCTCTTAGGGTTCAAATAATGTGAAAATCTGACACGGTCTGTATGACTGTATGCCTTCATCTTGAATATGAAATCTGATATGTGCCGAAAGCAAAAGCTACAATGCCACCCAGCATCTGCCAAGAGAAGATCAGTCTGACGAAAATGTGCATACCTAGTTACTCCAGGTTTGTACCTGTGGATTGAAGCTCTCCAACTATTGTCATCTACATGGTAATCAAACGAGTATAAATAGTTCTTGAGCCGTAGATGAAGAATTGCAGGAACGTTATCACACCACCTCAGCAAATCAACTGTGTGTCTGCTAGGAATTTCATCAACATCGGACATTATTAGCAAATCATCCTCCTCAATGCCAGCAATTCGGAGAAGCTGATCAAGAGCAACTCTTTGATATGCCTCCTCAATAAAAGGATTCTCCCCTTTCTTAAATCTTCCTCCTATGGTACCATAAGTTAGCCTTGACTCAATGAACTTGAACTTTTCACGATTAATAGAAAAGAACGGCGGCTTTGGTATGCCTGTGAAGGTCGAATTTGATTCCAATAGAACAAATTGAGTCACAAAAGGGTACAATTCGTTCCACCGGATTTCTAACATATCCACCTCATTGCTAAACAGAACCGCATCAAAAACTCTACGAGGGTAATCACGAATTCCCCAACCATGAAGCTTGCATAGAGTATCCATTGTCACATTCTCATTGTAATAATGTGTGATTTCAGTAAAAGGCTTCGGAGGGTGATCCCATAGCGGTCGAAGGAAATATGTAATTTTTTGACCATGAAGATAAACACCAAATATACATAGTGGGATCAACACAAAACTTAGAAGAAGGCTCTTCATATCAATTCCTCTAACAATACAGTTTAATCTTGATATCATCACCCCGCCTCGAATTCCCTGCTGTACAGTGCAGATAAATTCATTAGAGACATAAGGACTTTTCCATTGCCATCATTCAGTTTTCAAACAATATTAGTCTAACAAACAACACCTACCATGTTTATTTATCAACAATAAGGTTTTCAATTTAATCAAATATACTGCTTCTCTTAGCCAACTATATCAACCAACCCAACTAACTCGGCCACAAAAAATTATTTCTTGGATTATGAAAAGACGGTAAATACCAAAAATTTAAACAAAAACACTTCAATACAAATACATATATCAATAAATTTCACAAATTATGCTATCATCAAAAACTAAATTAGAATTGGAAACAAAAATGATCAAGCAATTTTTAAAAAGCCATAAAAAATCACAATAAAATAAAAAATAATCAACAAAAAAAAAAATGCTATTTAATAACATTGGGTTTAAAATGGAATAAAATAAATTCCAAAATTATAAGCTTTCAACGAACAATTCAAGGCATGCAAAATAAACCCATGAACCAAAAAATGTCCAGAATTCTAATTTTAAACTCTAAATTAAACCAAAATCAGCAAAAATCAACCCGAAAACTTCATCACCAACAAAACAATAAATATAGCAGAAAGAAGCGTCAATTGAACAATGGCAATAACCAAAAAAAAAAAAAAAATCAAAAGAAAAGGAGGGAAATAGAATAAATTACCTGGCCACAAATATCATTACAAATTGCATCAGTTTTCTTCGAACAATAGTAACCCTCATCCATAATTTAAAAACCCAAATTACAAAAATCAATAAAAATTGCTACAATTAACGAAATTAATCAATTGGATGCCCGAAAATGAATCCCCTGTTTCTGTTAAAATTGACAGAGTTGAGAAATTGTGTGAAAAATGGAAGCAAAAGAGGAGAAGAGAGAGAGAAAAGGGTGGAAATTGGGGTGGTTTTGAGCCGTTGAAGATGGTGTGTGTTGTGGGGTGTTTTTGCAGGTTGAGAGGAGTTCGAACCGTCAATAATAATAGCCGTTTGGTGTTACTTTCTCTCTCTAAAATCTTAAAACAAGGGTTGAGAATCGGAGAGGGAGAGGGAGAGGGAGAGACAACAAGTATTTATCAATAATCATCATTAAATAAACCAAGGCAAAAAAATAAAAAATAACCAAAAAAGAAAAAAAACAATAATTGTATTATTAGGATTTTGATAATGAATGTTTCCGAGTATTAGATAAGCATTTATCATATTTCCTAAATAGTGTTGATTTGGAAATGAAGGTTAAAGTCACGCATCACTTAATGTAATTAATGTTTATTTCAATTTAATAATTCTAGTTATCTTATCTATTGATTTCGGGGAGATTGTTAGGTTTTGTCACTATTATACTAATGTTGTATGGCCAATTAGTAATAAAACTAGTTTTTATGGCTCGTGCAATATACAGGTTGTTCATAGAAAATTGCATTGAGAGATGAGTGAGGAAATACCAATAAATCATTATAACCTTTATGGGTGTAATGTGTAGTCGAAAAAATAATTAAAGAAATCAAATTTTCTGTTTTTTTTACCATATATCCCTAAGTTTTTTTGTTTATTCACCATATACCCCTGAAATTTTTCAAATTCACCATATAGCCCTGATTTGTTACAAAAATTCATCATATACCCCTAATGATAACAAGATGAATGAAATTTGGTTAATTATACATCGATACCACCTTAAATCTCTCCCCCCCCCCCATCCCTGAAACCACTCCTTTCCTTTCTCCAACCCCCGAAACCACTCCAAATATCCATAACTATATCCGTATTGAGGATTAGAAAAGGGAATTTGGGGTAGTTTTGGGGGTGGGAAAAAGGAATGTGGATGATTTCGGGGATAGGGGAATGTATTTAGGGTGGTTTCGAGTCATAATTAACCCTTATGACTGACAAAGTTAACAATCATTAGTCATCAAGGGTATATGGTGTATTTTTTTGAAAACTCGGGGGTATGTGATGAATTTAAAAAAGTTCAGGAGTATATGTGAATAAATAAAAATAAAAAAATTAAAAAAAAAACTAAGGGGTATATGGTGAAAAAACTGTTAAATTTTTAGGACTTTTATTCAAAAGGAGGCTTTAAAAAAAGGTGGAGGGACTAAAATTATAGAGAGAAAAGGAAAAGGTGGAATTGAAGAGGGGAGAAGAAGGTCAAGTGTGCATGGGAGATGAAGTAAAGTTTGTTTGGAATATTGTGGGTATGCTGTAAAAAGAAATTTTTTTATAATTTTAATGAAAAAGTTAAGAAATATAGTGTAATAAAAAATTAAAACTGAAAGAAAACATATGGGAATGAAGATAAGCAAGTATAACAGGATGGAGATATGTATCTTTCCCGATTTTAGTTTTTAAATATTAAGTGCTTGTTTGGTTGGATGTAGGAATTAGAAACTTCCGTGAAATCTCAATGCCCATGAAATTGTAATTTCTAAGAATTGTCAAAATTTGTTTGGTTGGATAATGTAGGAATTTATTTCTCATGGGAAGTTCCACAAACCTAAGAGGAACTAGGAGAGCATTTCACAATCTCTAATGGTTAGAGTCATTAGAATCTAATAACGCTTGTTAGTATAAAATTGTATTTAGATGGTATTGTTTAATACCAACAAAGAGATATAACGATACGAACAAGACATTATTCTTTTGTTGTTATTAATGAAGAAGTATTCTAGTAGCATGGTTATAAGCACAAATTATTGATACCAAATAATTAGAGTCATTACTTAGAGTCACTAATGACTCTAATTATTAGAGGCATAGAATTTTTCGAGACTAGGTGAGTTAATTCCTCCCTTTTGTGAGAAGTTAGAACTTCCTTGGAAGTCTCACTTCTTACACTATTGTCAACCAAACAAGAATGAATAACCATAACAATACGAATAACAATAAGAATAATAACAACAAGAACAATAATAATAACAATAATAATTGTAATAATAATAATAATAATAATAATAATAATAATAATAATAATAATAATAATAATAATAGTAATAACAACAATAATAATAATAATAATAATAATAATAATAATTATTATTATTATTATTATTATTATTGGTATTATTATTATTACTATTATTATTATTATTATTATTATTATTATTATTATTATTATTATTATTATTATTATTATTATTATTATTATTATTATTATTATTATTATTATTATTATTATAACAAAAACCTACAAAGTCAAATGATTTACAAGAAATTAGTGGGGAGCCGAGATACAATCTGGGCCCCCACTCCTCTAACTATGACGAACCCAATCATGTTGAAGATGTGAGTAGCCGCACGAGCACCAATATCCTGAGTCCTAGCGAACGCCTGAACCCTCTTCAGCAATGCAACAACATCCTTCTCTAATTCCCCTAATGAAGAAAAGGAGAAAGGAAAAAAACCATAGCCAATAGCCCTGCAATGCGCCCCATACTTGTCTCGCTTCCGCTGAGCCGCAACCGACACAACACGACCAGGAACGAAGTCAGACCACCTAGATTGTGTCCATGGAGAAGACCCCGTCAAGTCAACACATACATCTAGGCCTCTATCCCAAGAGTAAAGCAACTCATTTGCTGATCTAAGAGCCCCGTCGTTCCCTCCACTTAACCCAACGTTAACCTCCTTCCTTGCAGAAATCTCAGAGCGGAAACAAATATCCCCATTAAAAAACCCTTGAGCAACATTGTGCCGATGTTTAATACCCACCATCCCAGCACAAGACAATGCATGATCCCCAAAAATATCCCCATAAAAAAACCCTTGAGCAAGCAGAGCAAGGTGTTAAAACGGAGAACAAGGGAACACCCAACCGGTAGCAAAGAACACAGCGGTAAGTCCTACCATTCATAGTCTGACCCAAACCTGATATTGGGATCGCTCGCAACCAGGGCGAAGTGTGATCCCCCTGTTTGGACTTCCATAGGGCAACTTGACGCAGAGATAAGGAGAAAGTGGATTCAACAGATGCAGTGACCTTCGTGAAATATATATTTGCCAATTTCTTCATGAGTTTAGGGGCAGCGATCTCACTCGAGTTACGCAAAAGGTCAATCTCCACAGTCCTATTAAAAAGACTAAGAGCGCCATCGAAGGCCGGTCCTGGACCAACAATACCAAAACTACAAAGAAGCGTAGTCTGAAGACTAGAAGAGTGCAAACGCGACGCAAGGAAAGCATAGTGCCGAACATCACCAGCTGAATAGACATCCAGTGCACCATAAGCAAAAGATAAGGTGGAAAGTCGCCATTGCCAATCACCAAAACCCGGCCCCGAAGCAGTTACAATACGCTCCAAAGAAGCCCAAAAAGCCACATCAAAAGTAGTCTGGGCTGCTTCAAAAAGATGAGGGGAACAAGTGCGCATAACAGAGTAGAGTTTGGAAACCCCAGTACACGCACGAAGAAGTAACAACTCACATTGGGGATCATCGAGCTTAGAAACAGCATCCATTAGCACAATGGTCTTCGACACTCTCTGCGAAACAAGCTCACCACAGAAAGAGGTATCCGCACTAGCAGGACCACCAAGCAACTTAACACTATGCACAGGACGAGCAATATCTGGAGGAAAGACACCTACAAGACGGCTACGAGGGTCCTCCGAGGGCCAGAAAACTTCCGTTTTCTCAACGTTGACATGGAGGCCGAGACGAGGCCCCTCCGCCAAAATCAACTCCATAACCTTACCTACTACTAAGGTGTCACCAATAATAGTGCCGTCATCCAAATACCAAGCCTACAAACATAAGTCAATTGATTATTATTATTATTATTATTATGGAAAAATAACAAAAACCTAGAAAGTCAATCGATTTACAAAAAATTAGTGGGGAGCCGAAATACAATTTGGGGCCCCACCCCTCTAGCTATAGCAAACCCAATTCTATTGAAGATGTGAGCAGCTGCACGATTACCAATATCCTGAGTCCTAGCGAACGCCTTAACCCGCTTCCGCAACGTAACAACTTCCTTCTCTAATTCCCCCAATGAAGAAAAGGAGGAAGGAAGACAACCATAGCCAATAGCCCTGCAACACGCCCTATACTTGTCCCGCTTCTGCTCAGCCGCAGCCGACACAACACGACCTGGAACGAAGTCAGACAACCCAGATTGTGTTAAGGGAGAAGACCCCGTCAAGTCAACACATACATCAAGGCCTTTGTCCCAAGAATAAAGCAACACATCTGCCGGTCGAAGAGCCTCGTCGTTACCTCCAGTTGACCGAACATTAACCTCCGTCCTTGCAGAAATCCTTGATCGATAACAAATATCAACAAGGGTATCACGAACAACATTTTGCCGATGTTTAATACCCACCATCTCAGCACAAGACACAACATGATCCCCATACAAGTTCACCACAAAAAGAGAAATCCGCATTGACAAGACCACCAAGCAACTTAACACCACACACATGATGAGAAATATCAGGAGGAAAGACACCAACGAGATAGCTACGAGGGTCCTCCGCGGGCCTGAAAACTTCCGTTTCCTCAACGTTTACATGGAGGCCGAGACAAGGTCTTTCCGCCAAAATCAACTCCATAACCAAGGTGTCACCAATAATAGTGTCACCATCCTAATACCAAGCCTGCAAACATAAGTCAAAGGAATCTCTGATACGACACACCAACGGATGGAGAAACAAAGCAAAACACAACAAGCCAAGAGGATCACCCAGTAGAGTAACAAAATTCAACCCAACGAGAGAGAGCTGGACAACGAAGACAAACTTCACACAACAAAGCAGTACAATTAACCAAATTGAAGGCATTCTGGAAATCCACCGGCAACATTGAGAGGCCAACATCACCACCACGAGCCTTAACCAAACAATTAACAACATAAAGAATAGCCTTACCGCCCGCTGGCACCCAACACCACACTGAAGACCTCGTAAATACCTTCCCAAACTCGGACCAATTAAAGCAGCCCCAACCTTTAAAACCAGGTGCCTCCAAACGGTACCCACATCAATATGCCAAATACCACCACCAAGCTTAACAAGTGGCGTGAGAGAAGCACTAGTAATATATTCTCCCAACTTAGCAGGACATTTTCCAGGGAGAAAGAGATTAACCACATGCGTTATAGAGTTCACCAAATCATCAGAAATAGCGACTTAAACACCACTCAATCAATCCATAAGGTGTTGAGCATGCAAACCGTCTCTACCGCATGACGTACCACGCAGAAAACCCTAATCTGGTCCAAAAAAATAGTAGGAGTAGCAATGAGGTGATGATCAA